GACAGAATAGGCCATTTTACAGTTGTGTACTTAGTTGCCAAGCCTTTGATTCAGAGTGAGGCTAAAGATGACCTTGTTTTGTTAGGGAGCTGTATCTAGTTAGCATGATAACAAAGTGATTTACATTTGAAAGGCAGCAAGGTTTGTATCATAACAAGGTCATCTCGAGCCTCACGCCTATTCAAAGGCTTGGCAACCAAGCACACAATTGTAAAATGGACTATTTAAAGACTTACAAATGTTTTCCTGACTGTAGCGATGGCGCCGAAGCCTAAGTTAAGAGTCTAAGATCGGCAACGAAAACTTCGGGCTAGAGAATACGTTGAAAAATTTTCGTGCTAAGAAGCCGTAGCGTTTAAATAGTTCTAAAAGGCATGCATAAATGATAAGCTAACACAAAAATTGGTAAGTGGAATCCTACACTGGCAAGGAAATTACATTTAAATAGAACATCATGAACATTAAACTCTAACAATGATCCTTAAAACATGATAAGATATTCTTTGTTTCTACGAGATTGTCATAAAAGCAAATCCTTGACCGGTATTGTACAATCGAGATTTCCATACTTACTAGTACTTTTGTCGTTTTGAAATATGCCTCCGTAAATTATCAACAGTGCAAGGAGAATGCAACTACAATACAACTTATTTCACTTTATGGCACTTCCAGGAGGCTTAAGACAATTTCAAACACTTTCAAACTCTTTCAGAGACTCAGTGGCGCAACCCGCACCGATAGATCGATCCGATAGGAGGGGGGTGAATAGGCTAACCGATCGGTGGATTCTGAGAATTATTTTGCCCGGATTTCGGATTTAGAGCAAAATTTTAACGGATTTGCGGATCCAGAGATTGCAACGGTTCGCGGTTTCGTCGATTTTTGAGGTTCGGATTTTTTATTTTGCTTGTGAGGAAGTTCGGATCGTGGATCTGAACGATCATCAAAAATGCGTTGTTTTCTGAGTATGTTATTTTTGTCACGGACGAGACTTTCTGCATGTCACGCATCAGGGAAATAGTAACGCACTGGGACGTCTGCTGTGTTCGTTGTCCAAGACACTGTACCCCACCGATTGCGATTCGCTCGATGATAAAGCCATTGCCTAGCTACCTTATAAGGTAACACACAACAGCTCAAGGTGCGTTTTCCACCTTTTTACGAGACAAGTAGCGAACAGATCGGCAGATTTGCATACCCCTATTCACCCCCCTCCCATAGTCGTAGGCTTGTGAGAGTGCAATGACTCCTTACCGTGTAACACAACTCGTACCGAAGATTAAAGCTGTTAAATGTCTTATAAGAGCGTAAAAGCTCTTACAAAAGCTGGAGTTATAACACAAGCCGGATCTGGGTACTTTGGCTTGTGTGACGAGAACTAACTCGTCAAACGATCACCTGGAAAAAAAAATTACTCGAGACCACGCTTTAATCCAAGATGGCTGACTCAGACGCCATATGACGTTAGACCACGTGACATACGTTTTACTCTCGTCGACAAATAAATAAATAAATAAATAAATCCGATGATGCCATATTGTGGCTACACAATCTGTGTAAGCCACACAAAAAGAGAGCGCGGAATGGAAGAACAAGGAATGAGGAATAAGGAATGGGGAATGGGGAATGAAGAACGAGGAATGGGAAACGGAGAACGAGGAATGGGGAATGGGAAATGTATAATTGGGAATGGGGAATGAGGAATGGGAAATGAAGGATGAGGAATGGAAAATGTAGAATAAGAATGGGGAGTCGGGAATGGGGAATGGGGAATGGGTAATGGAGAATGAGGAATGGAGAATGGGAATGGGGAATCTTCAAAAGCAGGAATCTTTAAAATGTGGAATTTTTAAAAGCGAGAGCTTTTAAAATGTGAAATATTTAAAAGTGAGAATCTTTAAAATGAGGAATCTTTAGACTGCGTGAGATGAAATCGACCAAATGAATGAGCGGTCTGAGGAGAAGTCGCTCTTTTTTCAATCTTACGCAAGTGAATTCCATCAAAATTCAAGACTGTTGACACAGGTAAAACTACGCTACAATGGAAGGGCAGTCAGTAAATGTCTTCAACACTCAACATGATTAGATTGCTAAAATAATTTCAGCATCAGAATCATTATTTTGATCAACATGTTTCGCTGTGGCAATTCCCTACAAACCGTCGTGAACGACTCAATTTTTTGGTGTCTGTTCAGGTGTGAAATATACAAATTTGTCTAGACAAACTGTCGCGCTTCTTCATTCACAGTCATTGGAAATCCATACTGTCAGGCACCGACATTAATTTGAACGCATGACAAGGCTTTACAAACGACATTAAACAGGATTTGGCCGAAAATAAATCTTGATTAAAGGAAGTTTTGTAAATGCAGAGACACAAACACGGTAATTTGACGGTGGTGTGTACAGAAACTTTCACGTATCATTGTTAATAAAATACGTAGAGAGCTGACTGTAACGAAAATACTCATTGAAGCGCGCTTCAGATTTCGAAACTTTATACTCATTTACGTTTCCAAAAAGCTTTTAAAACATTTCTTGGTTGCTTTATTGTCTGATATGAAATGTTCACCCGAGCATGACAGCGATTTTACTACAGTTGGACGATCAATAAGCATAATATCTACTGTAACAAAAATTATAGTTCTTTGATGAAAAATCGCCGGCAAACGTGCTAAAAGTTCCGGCTGCCGCCGGCACCCGGCTGCTATTTTGAACCCTGAGGATAATACCGAAGAACGATGTAGATCAGAGTGTTCAATAATAATTACTAATAGGGCTGATAACTGACCTACCATCCAGGCTAATAAAAAAATAGTAATCGAGTGGCACCGCCATCCGCCGAAAAAATTGATACGTTTTTAAAGATTACTCGTTTTAAAGATTCTCTATTTTAAAGTTTTCCGCTTTTAAAAACTCCTCATTTTAACGATTTTCCATTCCCCATTCCCCATTCCTCATTCTCCATTTCTCAGTTACTATTCTTCGTCTTCATTTCCAATTCCCCATTCCCCATTCCCCACTTCCCACTCCCCATTCTCTATTCTCCATTCTTCATTCTCCATTCTGCATTCTGCATTCTCCATTCTCCATTCTTCATTCTCCATTCTCCATTTCCCATTCTCTTTTCTTCATTCTCCATTCTCCATTCTCATTCACTATTCCACATTCCTTATTTTCCGTTCTCCGTTCTTTATTCTCCATTCTCCATTCTCCATTCTCCATTAATCATTTATAAATTATGCTAGTAAAAGTGGCATATTATGCTAGTAGCATTGCTTTTTTTTTTGGCCAAATTATGCTAACATTATGCTCTTTTTTCCAAATTATGCCACCGTTTTTTTAAATTATGCTCTTTGAAAAAATGCAAATAAGTCCAAAATATATATTTTTTAACTAGAAGCCGTTCGTCTACAGGAAAGAAACGCAACAAATCCACAATGAATTTCAAATAAACATGTGGTTCAGGTTA